CCCCTTCCCACCCATACTGTTGGCCCTGGACAGAGCCTGGACACTGAAATACCTCCTCAGCAGCTCTGAGACCCATGAGTCTGCATGTGCAGAAGGGGACCACAAAGGCTACAAGTGGGTCTGGGGCAGTTCCAAGCCTGGGTTCATGCCCTGAAAGCATCCTTTTGTCCTGCTGCCCTGTAGATGGAGTACTACGGGACCATCTCCATTGGCACCCCACCGCAGAACTTCACAGTGGTCTTCGACACTGGCTCCTCCAACCTCTGGGTTCCCTCTGTCTCCTGTGCCAGCCCAGCTTGCCGTAAGTATCATCAGACAGGGATCCCCATTTTGCCAGAGCTGGGATCCAACAGCACATCATGGGCTTATCTCTGCAGAATCAAGCCCAGATTTTGTGGTGGCACTGCAAAGAGACCAGGGGCCCCCTAGCCAGTATAATGAGCAGACCCCATGGTGCTGGGTCCCTTCAACTCTGCGGAACATGCTGGGATGAGTATTTGGGATGTAGCACCTACTCAGTGCTGTACTCCACAGGGTGATACTCCTAGTGCTCAGTGCCTCAGTTTCCCCATCTGTCCTAAAGGGGAAATGGAATATCCCGCAGATCCTTGGCATTAGGATGCTGGAGAAGCAGCTGTAACATATGGCAAATATTTACAGCTAAATTGTTCCTGCAGCACAAGTAATAAATGGCAGGTCTAAACAGCAATTCAGCATGGTTCTTACTCCCACGCTTTCCTTATGGCTCAGCCTTCCTGAAAATCTTCATTTTTGGTTCCCAATTACCTTCTAGAGAGCCATCAGATGTTTAACCCATCGCAGTCATCCACCTACAGAAGCACGGGGCAGAACCTCTCCATTCACTACGGCACCGGTGACATGGAGGGCATCGTGGGCTGCGACATTGTCACTGTGAGTGTCACAATGGCATCTCAGGGGGTTCCTCTGTGCCTTCTCCACCAAATTCACACCCATATTGCAATGCCTGATCCAGCTAACTGTCATCCTCATCCCCAGGTTGCATCACTGATGGACATCAACCAGCTCTTTGGCTTGAGCACCACAGAGCCTGGCCAATTCTTTGTCCATGTTAAATTTGATGGGATCCTGGGACTGGGCTACCCAAGTCTGGCTGCTGATGGGATCACTCCAGTCTTTGATAACTTGGTGAATGAGAGCTTGCTGGAGCAGAACCTCTTTTCAGTTTATCTATCCTGGTAAGATGCATCAGCTGTGACAGCTGGGGGAAGTAGCAAATGTGTCTGGTTCAGATAATTGCATTTTCTGGTCACTCCAGCTTCTCCACTGTCACTGCTGCTATCCAGCTGTTGCCTTTGTGCCATGATGCCTAAGGGCAGGGCAGTACGCTGCTGTAGTGCCAGCAATGAGGTGTGGAGTGGATGTGACTGCAGCGTCACAGGCAGCATCTTCCCCCACGGGACTCGCGGTCTCCTTATTCTAAGGTAATTGCACTGAAGCGACATGGCAAACCCTCTGGTGTTTTCCTTTTATGCATCATCCAGTGAGACGATGGGGAGCGTGGTCATCTTCGGGGGAATTGATGAAGCTTATTTCACTGGCTCCATCAACTGGATTCCTGTCTCTTACCAGGGTTACTGGCAGATCTCCATGGACAGGTAAGGAGATGACTCTGCTGATTTATGTTCATTTCTAGCCATCACTTCTGAAGAGAACTGAGACCCATGAACATCATGGGCTTTCCACTAGCATTTAACACATTGTGGCACAAAAAGCCAAGGAGCCAAAACCCGCAGAACTTTGGCAATTTCTACCTGATTTGGGTATGCTTTGTACGGGGACACAGCCTAGTTCTTCTCTTTCACAAAGCCTATTTCTCTTGGGGATGTGTCCGGTGATGAGCAGAGTAACTTACTTTGCTGGGCTTGGTTGGGTCCCAGATTGTGGCTGTTTGGTGCCTACATCTTCATTTATGCACTGGGGCTGTGATACCAGCTGTCATTGCAAACCCCAAGAAGCAGAGGGCTCAAGGAGAGGAAAGCTGTCCTAGCTCTAACTCTTATAAAACAAGTCTGAAAGTGTCATGAAGATTCATCAGGCTTAGCAGCCCCTCTCTTGTCTGTTTTTCCCTCCCTGCTGCCAGCATCATCGTGAACGGGCAGGAGATTGCGTGCAGTGGTGGCTGTCAAGCCATCGTTGACACGGGAACATCCCTTGTGGCTGGGCCACCCTCTGACATAAGTGACATCCAGAGTGCCATTGGGGCCAGGCAGAACACGTACGGAGAGGTAAGAGCATCTGTGTCCTGCTCTGCTGGCCCTGGAGACAGCCTGGCACAAGCCTGGATCCAAGGCTGCTTCCACACACAGGCAAACAGCATCACTGCTCATGGCAAAGCAACCCTGCTGGTGGTACCTCCAAAGGAGAGCTCCATGAGACTCTCACGGTCTTTAGTTTTTACCAGCAAAATCAAAAACCTTCCCTGCTCACCAGCTGAATGTGTTGCTTCTTACCTAAGAGCCTCTTTCCTCTGCTCCCTGCAGTACAATGTGAATTGTAGCTACATCTCTGCCATGCCTGATGTTGTCTTTGTCATCAATGGGGTTCAGTATCCAGTATCTGCCTCAGCTTACACTGAGCAGGTAAGGAGGAGTGAGTACCCAGCTTCCAAGAGCCTGTCTCTACATTCTTTTATTTTCTCCAATGGCTCTCATCACTTTGGCCTCTCCCATTCCTGTGGGGGACAGCAGATGGATGGCCATGGGCCTCCAGAGTGACCTGGCGAAAGGCACTAACCCACATTTTTCCCCTTTGCCTTCTCTTGCTCAAATGCAGAACAATGAAGAAGCGTGTATCAGTGGTTTCCAGAACACCTCTGCGGACCTCTGGATCTTGGGAGATGTCTTCATCAGAGTGTACTACAGCATCTTTGACCGGGCCAACAACCGTGTTGGACTGGCCAAGGCTGTTTAAAACCACTGTGATGCCAGCAGTGCTGTGGTTTGATCACTCAACCAGACCACAACCATATTTTTTGGAGCAGCAAGAGATCTTCTCTCATAAGGAATCCCTTGCTCACACACGAATAAAGTGTTGATGATATAGAAATGGTGGCTGCACATTTATTTGTGATAAAAAGGCAGGAATTATGAAGGAGGTGTCATACAGTTACTGCTTCATGGTGGCTTCAGAGTATTCAGTCCACTCCACAAGACTGGGGCCTTTGGGAGCCGTGGTTGTGGCTGGGAAGGGCTGAAAACCAGGTCAAGTCAAGGCTGTCTCTTGTACTGGGGCTGCATCAAATAAGCGGTTCTGAAAAAAACAAATTTCCTACCAGGGAGGATAAACTCTCCATCCCAAACACAGCCCAACTCAGAGCAGATCCCTGGAAACCCACACCCAAGGAGACAGCTTGGAGACAGTTCATGCTCATTGTGTCCTTGCCCATTATGAAACTTTTACAGAAGAGCATCCACAGCTGCTTGTGTGTAGCAGTGATGTCTCATTTCAGTTTCCATGGTTTAGAGTAATCCATTTACACTTCGCTTTCTTTCCCCCAGCAGAATCTCAATTTAAGGTCCTTTTCAAAATACCAGCCTGTGCTCTCAGACTGGTAAGAGATTGGAAACACCAACTAATCCTTAGTTATAGGCCTTGACAGTGTTGAGGGGGAATAAAAGAACAACTAATATTTTTATCTTATACTCTTCCACCCCCACACCCCACACCCCGCCACAATGGTCAGGATGATTCCTTCCCTAATTTTGCTTCTTTCCTCTCAAAGAGCAGTTCTCATTTTTGAAAAGGAAATTACCATCATCCATATAAAACCCTGTTAAAACTGGAGGCTGTCTCTTTCCTCCCTAGCAGCTGTAGTGAAAGTGCTCAGCAGGAGGCTGGAAGAGAACTTCAGGCATGACCACTGCCAGGTGGCATATTCCTCATAGCCAGATCCTCTGGACATGGCTATTCTGCACTGATGCCAGAAGACCTTGGCAAACAGCTCTGCAGGGGCTTTCTCCATGTGAGCATCCCCCATGGCCAGGGGAGCCCTTCCCACATCTGCATGCACTCAGGCAATAAAGAAAGAAATCAGCTAAAGGCTTCCAAGCAAAAATTAAAAGGGGGAACAAACACATTGGGACTGCTGTAGTAGTTCCCTACTGTGTCCTGGGAAATGTCTATCCTGGAGTGCCATCTTGTGGCTGCGGTGCCAAAACTGTACCGTGCATAGGGGATGCACAGAAATATGTTTGGTGGCAAAAGGATGTTCCAAGGTTTGCTTGGAAATTAGGACTTGAAGGAGGAGAAAAATGCTCCTAGTGGACAAATATGTCCAAGGTTCGGGCTTGCTCCATGGAAAGAAAAGTAGTCAGGACACCTTTCTGATAAAGCAAAGAGGTTTCATGCCATCTTCAGAATTTTTATTTTTATTATTTTTATTTTTATTTTTTTTTTCTGGGGAATTCTTCCCTGTGTGCCAGATGACATGATAGATTGCCTCATTAGGGCTTGACTCATGACATGTACAGTTAATAAGAGCCTTTTATGGATTTCATTGAGCTTTGAGCTTTGGGGCTGGATTTGGGAAAATGCTAAGCTGCAAATTGTATGGGAAAATGTGTGGTTTTTGTTTGTTTGTTTGTTTTGTTTTGTTTTTAAATCAGACACTAGATGGGTGTTGATTGGATATTCATAGTCTGTTTTTTCTACTGTTCCCTTTATGATAAATCAGAAATCAGCTGTTGTATCTGGACAAGTTTAATGTCTCTGACCCCATCCTCACAGCATAAGTTAGGGATCTCCCTTGTATCTGCCCCCCACCCTGTGACAGCTGTCATAAGCTGAACTTCTGGGGAAACTGTTGCAGAGTTTGTCCTCATCCCACAGGTCTTGTGCCTTCAGGTCTGTAATGTCCCATGCCTCATCCTGCACACATGATTCCCAGGCAGGGACCAGCTCCTGCTGTTTGTGAAATTGCAAAAACACAAGAACAAAATATTGGATCCAAATAACCAGTATTTTCTGTATGTTCAACTTTGAAGCATCTACTCTTTTATTGGAGAATAAAATTTACAAGTTAATAAGAATCAAGTTCATCCTGCTACCTATCTCTCCATGCATCCATCCATCCATCTGTCAATCCATCCATCCCAGCAACCCTCCATTTCAATCCCTCTCTGATTGCTACGGGAGCAAGAGCAGTGAGGACGTGCTCAGAGCTTTTCCATAGGAAGCAGGCTGAATATTTCCCAACCCAAACCTTTTCACCAGAGTTTTTCATGATCGCTTCCCAAGGAATAAACACCGAAAGTGTTTCAGCTTTGATATAATGGGAGTGAAGTTTGGGAAGGAGAGCTCAAGAAAAAATAAAAGGATTTTAAAAGTTTCATTCTTTCTTCTATGAAATAAAAATAGAGAAGTGGCAGAACAGCTGGAGAGAAATGAGGAGTGACGAGAGGAGCTGGGGATGTCTCAGAATGCTGCTCACCAGCTGTGCCCAGCTGTGCCTCCTCCAGCTGTGCCCAGCTCTTCTTCTTCCAGCCATCCTCGCAGATAATGAGGCATTTCTCCCTTGAGCACAGAGGGAAGAGTAAACATTTCTCACTGCTCCTCCTCTGTCGGTGATGATGCTGTGAGGGTGGCGAGGGATGGGGTGAGGAAAAGGGTGAGGGATGGGAGAAAATTAAAAGGGAGATTTGTCCCTGAAGGACACCTGTCCTGATCATGTTCCAGATCCACCTGCCTGGGGTTCAGGTGGACCAAAGGTGTTGCAGAAAGCCCACAAAAAAAATACCCCAAACCAGAATAAGAATCCCCCCAGACCCCGAGCTCTGCAGCAAGTGGGTGTGGGATTTCTGCCAGAGGGAAAATCCCAGCACACCCTATCTCACATTTTCAATCAGAACAGGTACAAAAATAAATAAACATTCTTTCATCACTCCTTTCTGAACGAAATTGCAAACCAAAGATGTTGGCACATTGTGCAATGATCATACTGAACCTTGAGGAGATGAGACATCATATATAACAGATGTGGGATATAAAAGCAGATGTGTAGACACTGTATGAGAAACTGTGATTTTAATGTAGGCAGAAACATCAAAAAAGCCAACTGAAACAGTGAAGTTGGAACAAAATGTTTTTGTCAGAAGGAAACCTGCTGGCATTAGAGAGAACAGCAAAATGATTTGTTTCTGTTTCTCCCATTGAAAATGCCTATGGAAATTTGCATGTTTTCAAAACCAGAAGTGATTTTTACAACGCAAAGCCAAAATGTCAGGAAACGTCAGCCCTCATTACTCCGTGCCCCATTTTCAGCAACATAAGTGACAAAAAATCTACAAGGTCACAGAGGTTCATCCCCAAAGGCATTTGTGCACCAGATAACCCACGCATCAAGCATTTGTGGCAGGAAAAATCCCCCCTGTCCTTCCCAGAGATGAATGTCCGTGGGCACTGAGCCACCACGCCCTGGGGCCTTTCTTGGTGGCTGTGCAAGTGGAGCTGGTCCCCATCCCTCTTGTCTTAATCCCTACACCCAGTGGCTCAATCCCATCCATCACTGCCCACCCTACTGCATCAGCAAAATTATTTAGGCAGACACACCAGGGAACTCATCTAGCTAAAAATATAACTTATTTTTCAGCCAGAAAAATAAATTAATAAATAAAAGCAGACCACTTCCAGATCTGAGGATTGCTCAGATATCCACATTCTGAGTAGTGGAGGAAATATTTAAAATGGATTAAGAAATGCAGGAAGATGGCAACCAGCTCCACCCCTGGACAGCTGGGTGCCACCAGGCAAAGCAGTTCATGTCATTTTGCCTTTTTCCCCTTCTGGTATATGGGGAAAATCTTTGCATATGGAGAATGGCACTGATATCACAGACAAAAAAGCTAAATGTCAAGCAGATGAGCATCAAATAATAAAAAAAAATAGACTGATGGGCAGGGAAGAGAGATAAGAAAGATGGTATTTATTTGAACAGCCACAGGAAATCAGAGAGTGAAAAATGTCTAGAAAAAAAACAGCAGCAGCACATTCAGTTAAAAAAAAATCACAGCGTGCAGATGCTTTATACCTTATCCAGACAATCCCACCTGACAGTGCTCAGTCCCATCACAGCAATGTCATTTTTTGGCCTTATCTCGAGGGTAACCCCCATTGGTCTTATTGAGTGACTCCATGCTGCCATTTCCCGTCACCACACTGGTGAGCATTCTCTCCACCTCCCCAGGCAGAATTTGCTTCTCTTCGTTCTCTGTCTCCCTGTGGTAGAAATAGTTGAAGTTTGAGACTATGACAGGGACGGGCAACGCAATGGTCAATACTCCTGCAATTGCGCATAGAGTCCCCACAATCTTCCCACCCAGGGTGGTGGGACACATGTCACCATAGCCGACGGTTGTCATCGTGACCACGGCCCACCAGAAGCCATCAGGGATGCTGGAGAAATGGGACTGTGGCTCGTCCACTTCTGCAAAGTAGACAGCACTGGAGAAGAGGATGACGCCAATGAAGAGGAAGAAGATGAGCAAGCCCAGCTCCCTCATGCTAGCCTTGAGGGTCTGCCCCAGGATCTGCAGCCCCTTGGAGTGCCGGGAGAGCTTGAAGATGCGGAAGACCCTGACCAGACGGATGATCCGCAGGATGGCCAAGGACATGTTCTGCTGCCCATTGAGTTCGCTCTGCTGGATCAGCTCGGTGGTGAGAGTTACAAAGTAGGGGATAATGGACACAATATCAATAATATTCATGATATTTCTGAAGAAGTCAGTCTTGCTGGGGCACACGATGAACCGGACAAACAGCTCAAAGGAGAACCAGACGATGCAGGCAGTCTCTATGACGAAGAAAGGGTCTGTGAAGGTGCTGTGGGCCAGCAAGGTGTCTGTCAGATTCTTAGAAAGCTCCTGGGTGGACTTAAATTCCCTTTCCTCCCTGAACTCTGGCAAGGTCTCCATGCAGAAGATGATGATGGAGATGACAATGACCAGGACAGAGACCAAAGCTACGCCTCTGGCTGCACTGGAGCTTTCGGGGTACTCAAAGAGCAGCCAGAATTGCCTGTGAAAGTCATTGGTTGGTAAGAGGGTCTCAGGGTCCTTGATAAACCCTTCGTCCTCCCTGAACTGGTCCATGGCTTCGTCACCCAGCTCATAGAAGGTGATTTCATCAGCAAAGACATCAATAGGTACATTGGCTGGACGCCGGATTTTCCCACCAGACTGGTAATAGTACAAGATCCCATCAAAACTGGGCCTGTTCCTGTCAAAGAAATATTCATTCCTCATGGAGTCGAAGTAACGCATCCTCTTTTCTGGGTCCCCAAGCAAGGTCTCCGGGAACTGGTTGAGGGTCTTGAGCCGTGTCTCAAACCTCAGCCCAGCAATATTGATGATGACTCGTTGGTCCCCCTCTTCCATGCCCACCCGTTCCCCCACCAGGTGCTCACTGAGCTCAGCAGAGAACCTGGAGAAAATGGTCTCATTGTTGGCGTTTTCACTGTTGATGAGGATTCTCCAGTTGGAGAGGAGGTTGGGGCAGCTGGGATGGCCCTTCCGCGACTGCCCAGCGGGACTGAGGTCATTTGAATAACAGGGATCCTCCACAATCTGATCAGCGTTGTCAAAACTGACTAGTGCCACCTCCATCTCCTTCCAACTGGACACGTCCATCATACACTAATCAGATTAGCAGCATAAATCCCCAGGTCTGATACCAGCAGCTTGCGTCTTTCCCACGCTATGAGGATCTGCAACCAAATGGACAGGGAGAGAGAGATGAATTGTGCATGTGGATCGCTTTGCTTGACTGAAAAGAATGAAACAAACCCAAGGTCAGAAAACCCTGTATGTTTTAATGCAAACATTAATTTCATGGACATTATACTTCCAGCATATTTTTCAGCTCCAGATCCTGCAGGCCCCTTTTTGGGATGACTTTACTATCACCACTAAACCTCCCAATACTGCTTACAGCATCCAAGGATAAAAAGTCAGGCAGTAGCAGAAGACGGGAGAATTCAGGTATCCCATGCAGACTTTCCTCACCAGTCCCAGCCCTGAGAGCAAGAAGGGCTATTTCAGACATTTCCAAGTATGCACTAATCCACAGGCTGCAGGTCCAGTGTTTGGAGCAGGATTCGGAGGTATTTATCTCTTTAGCTTGGAGGAGCCTGAGGGGCAACCTCATTAATATTTATAAATATGGAAAGAGTGAGTGTCAGGAGGATGGAGCCAGGCTCTTCTCGGTGACATCTAATGATAGGACAAGGGGCAGTGGGTGCAAGCTGGAACACAGGAGGTTCTGCATAAATATGAGACAAAACTTTTTCACAGTGAAGATGACAGAACACCAGAACAGGCTGCCCAGGGGGGTTGTGGAGTCTCCTTCTCTGGAGACATTCAAAACCCACCTGGACACGTTCCTGTGTGACCTGATCTAGGTGTTCGTGCTCTGGAAGGGGGATTGGACTAGATGATCTTTCAAGGTCCCTTCCAATCCCTAACATTTTGTGATTCTGTGTGTTTCTGTGATTCTGTGTATTAAACACAGGTGTTCTGGTTAGCCACAGCCCCTGATACAGCTGGGAGAGTCACTGGTGGAACCCCAGGAGTTGGGTCACCTGGCACTACGAAAGCAATTCCCAAACGAGGGCCAGGCTGGAACTTGAGAAAGGCAGGTCAGGAGGAGAAGGACGTGTCCACCAGCCCTGGAGAACCCCTCCAATCTGTGTGAAGAGGGACATGAACCCCTTGTCTTGATCTGAAATTTGAGGTGGGCAGAGGACGACATCCTCTCTAGCTGTCCTAGGCCTTCCTTGTGGTAAAAATGATATTCCCAGCCATACGAAGAAGATGAGGTTTAAACACTCAGGTTACTAAGAGAGACTGGAGAGCATTTTTCAGGCCATGGGGTGGATCTTTTCCCGAGACTGGTCCGGCAGGTGCTATTGGCACTATGTCCCTAAAACACTGCTGGGCCTCATATCCCCAGCAGGCCGCCACTGAAGTGCTGAGATCAACGGCAAAATCTAAGAGCAGCTCGAGGACCAGGCCAAGTTATAGAACTGGGAAAGTACCTGTCCTGCCTCAGGGAGAACCACAAAGGGAAATTAGAAGTTAACAGAGAACAGTTCTGAGGAGATTTACCCCCAAAATGCACTTTGCTAGTCAGGTTCCCCACCTCACCCCCATTTATTTCCTCTCCTTTGGCCTCCAGCTCTTTCTCCCCCAAGTGTATTCTCTGAGCATAAGAAACCACACAAGGACACACAGAGTGGCTCTGATTTCTGTGTGCCCACTGATCACCAAGGGCCCGCTGCCTTTCTTACCCAGCGAAGTTCATCAGAAGGGAGTGAAAAACACAAATGCCCTCAATTGCCAGGAATAGCAATGCAATTTGGGCCATGTCTGCATGGAGCAGCAGCAGCACGGGGACTGGTCCTGTGCTGGGGCCGCAGGGACACAGCTGGTGCCCAAACCTCCTTATTGAGCTGGAGCCATCGGGGTTCTGAAATTGTTCCTCTGTCTTTGCAGAGGACTCCTCCATCTGTGCTGAAGCACTGCTGCCCGAACTGGGTACACACCAGCTAGAAACCCAAATCTGCTGCAGGAGGAGATGTTAGCATCCTGGCTCTTCTGCTGTCAGCATTATAAGCCCAAAAGCAAAACTTTGTGCAGGAGCCAGAGTCCTTATCTAAGATGATGGCTTAACCATGCTGTTTCCTTAGCAGAGTCAAGGGATGCTGCATTTGGGGACGAATCCCAGAACTTACCAGGAACCAAGGTAAAGCCGCTTAAAGATCATATGTCTTTACCTGATAAAAGCCACAGAGCATGGCTGTTCTTAGGTACCCATCTCTGTAGAGCTGTGTCTGGCTCTGTTTTTGTGTCCATTTTCCCATGTGGGGACATTTAGGGAGGAGCATTCAAGGCAATGTGGCAGAAATGATGTCTGGGGGGAGCAGTGGTATGTTTTAGCCCCCAAAGCAGCCTGTTGAGAAGATGAGGAGCCCCAGAACTGAGTCCTCCAGTCCCAGCAATAGAGGTGTGTCCTGCTTGGGATGGCCAAGGTTAAAGCATGCCTGAGGGCAGCTCTTCATGGGGCCAGATTCGGCTCATACTTGATGTTTCAACAGCTCTGTTGAAAAGCTGCTGTGGGCAGGGGGAGATGTAGCCTCAGGGCAATGCAGGGTGCAGACAGTGCAGTGCAACTGAGAGCTGCAGACAGCCCACACCTCAGTGCCCCCGCACCCATCAGCAGCCAGGCTGGGAGAAGGGATGCTGAGATAAACCCAGACCAAACAAAGCTCGTTTAGAGGGAAAAACAAGCGTTAAAGAAAAAAAGGAAAAGCAACACATCTTTCTGTTTTGTGCTTTCTCATTTTTCCTTAATACTAAACCCCAAAGTTGATTTTTAATGAGGGAGAAAAAAAAAAGAAAATCAGTTTGAATGAGGAGAGCAGGACTGTTCAGCCAGAGCAGTGAGCTGACCCCACGCTCACCACTCCTCGGTCCTGCTGGTAGCCCAGAAGTTAGCCTGTGCCTGGCAGCTCTCTCAACACCAGAGCAACCTTAGAGCAGCTTAAGCTGACTGTGAAATTGCATCCAAAGTCAGCACTGTGAGATGATCTTAGTCTTAAAAAGCATTAAGGGTGCTTAACTCCTAATACTGCATGCTGGCACTCTGTGCAAGGAAATTCCCAAGCCCTTGTTTGGTGGGGCTTGTTCAGCCTGACAATTTCCACCATAGAGGCAATTGTAGTGTGTTGAATCATGGTATATTGATTTGCAATATCTTGAAATATGGCTTAGCTCTGAAGCCTGCATGCACATCGAACTGAGCCCACCCAGCATCATCCCCCATGGGAAAACGGAGGCTTGAGAGCTGTGAAGGGACAATTTGCATGTCATGGTCACTGCTGGGAGTGGAAAGTTGTGCTCATCCTTGGCAGCAGGGCATGGAAAGGAACATTTTAGCTCAGTTTCAAGCTTTTAAGCCCTTTTCCAAGTTTTTTTAGCCCCATTTTATGCCATCAGGATGCTGCCCAGAGGGTTCAGGGCCGTGACTTTCTTTTCATTGCATTCAGAGCCACAAAGTATGCTGACATCTGCCTGTCCCCATCACCAGAGATAGGTATCCCACCTGTCCCCAGACTCCAGACCACCCTTTCTGTCTCGCTTCAGATTTAGGCTAAAATTACCAGCACTTCCCAAATGCACAAAGCAATCTCTCAAAGCAAGAACAGAGCCACATGGTTTGCAATGCACAGTGTAGGCTCTAGCAGAGGCTTGAACTAGAAAGTCTCATTTTTTCCTCCTAAATCACCTAACATCTGCTTCTCAGAATCTGATTAACTAATACGCTTCATCCAAAATCCCTGGCTGGGAGGAAAAAAAATGCAAGGGAGAGAGACTGAAAAAAAGAAAGGTCATTTGAGAGAGATATTGTGTTTTTCTCATCACATCCCATTAGCAAATCAGTAAATTGGGTCTGTGGTTTCCACCAGCCCCTCTGCATCCATGCAGTCAAAACCTCCCCAGGTACAACTTCCTCCTGCTTCCCACCGGTTCTGCTTCCCTCCCCAGCAAAACCTCACACGCCTGAGTAAATGACAGAATTCTCCAAGGTCCTCCCAGAAAATCAGAGGTACTGCACTGCTCCCTCCCATGCCCTCCCCATCACCCCTGTGCTCGATGAGAAAAGAAACAATTTGTTCCATAAACCCCCCATGCCATCACCTATGGGGACTTACCCACGCAGGGCATGGAAGTGCCAATGCTCTCTGCATCTGGGAAGAGAGTTATTAAACACACATAGGGATGTGTAGGGGAAGTAGGAAAAAAAAAAAAAAAAAAAAAAAAGTCCAGCCATACCCTTGAGAGGTCCCGTTGGGATAAAGCAGGCAATGTCATTTAGAACGCTCTCCTCTATTTGGTTCACTGTATAATTGGCAGCCCAGCACACCAGGGATGGGCTTTGGCAGGATCCGATGTGGTTTGGAGCCTTGGCCCCGACGTTGCCCGGGGAAAAAGCACCCTTTCTGCCCTGAAAAGAGCCAGGGGTCCATCAGGAAGGGGGGCTGGAGGAGCCCCTGGCCCCCCACCCTCCTCCCCCACCCACTCATTGTGGAGCGGGCCAGGGTGGGATGTGCCCTTCTGTCGGATGCCACCTTTAATCCCCAATAATGCTCCGGCTGGTCCAGCGGGGACAAGTCTTGTCCGTGACGTGGTGAGGTCTGAGCCGGTCCCCAGAAAGGAGGTGGAGAGGGGGCCAGGGACCCAAGCACTGCTGGCATGAAGAGACAGATTTACGGCAGGGAATAAGGCTTTTGTTGTTGTTGTTGTTTTTTGTTATTAATATAAAATAACAGCATTAAAATGAGGAGGGAGGGGAGAGCCCAAGGGTTGGAGCATCCCCAGATGCCCACCTACCTCTTGCCTGTGGTTGCAGGTACAGTGGGCTCCCTTCCAGGAGGGGATGGCCACAGTGCCACAACCACGTGGGACATCCCCGTCCCCCCTGACGTGTCCAGGAGCTGTGGCAGCAGCAGGCAGAGGCAGCACAGTCCTGAGAGGGCATCGGCAGGGACAATGGACAGCAGGGACAAGCTCCTTCTGCACACCTGGCTGGGGCACCAGCGCCACCGGGCTTAGAGCAGCAAGTAGTAACTAAATAAATGGCCCCAAGGAACGTCACCGGACAGGATGGCGTGAGTCACTGAAGTAACTGAGATTTTTTTTTCCTTCCCCACTTTTTGTTTCTTTCTTTTCTAGAGCTGGTTACATTCATAACCCCACTGCGTCCTTGCCATAAGGACCCTGGAGAGGTTTCAGCCCTGTTGGGTGGACTCGCGCAAGGATGGATGCCATCTTCATCCCCACCCAGGTGACCCCACACCCTCCTCCTCTTCTTCACCCCCTTAGCGCTGTGTTTTGGTACATTTCTACCCATGTGTCACAGCCTGAATTACTCCACAGTGATGCTCCTTTGCTCCTGAGGGACTCGGTCACCTCGATTTCCCTCCCTCCAGCTCCCTCCACTGTCCTCAGAGATATTTTCCACCCATGATGTTAATGAGCACATTAAAGTGCCCTGTCCTGCAGGAGAGCATGGGACCCACAGGCTTGGGGCATCTTATACTCAGGTCCAACCCTCTGCAGCTGCAGCCAGTGATGGAATGTGACATGACATCATGCAGATTTTTTTTTTTTGGCTCTTCAGGGCTGGTTCATCATTTTGCACATCCCTTTCTGCACCCCTATATAGTATTGTGCTTATATGTACCCACCTGCTGGGAATCTACCAGTAGAAGGGAGTTAAAGCAAGATTCCCAGCACCTAAATTCAGCCCCAGCCAGTGCCTGTCTGCCCTCCAAACCCATCCTTTGGGAGGACTTCAAACATGGGGTGATGGTGTTTTTGGGTGAAAAATGACTTCCCTTTTATTTTTTTTATTTTTTCTCCTCTCAAATCTCCCTGGTGTTAATGAGGGTCATATCCTACACCCAGGCAAAGAGCATCTGTGGCTGAGGGAAGCCTGAAGCATGCAAACCACCCACAAGGTGCTAATAGTTTGGGTTGTGCTTGGGCTGAGAAATCAGCTCCGGCAGGAAAAGCTGCTGTGACCAGCAACATCCCTGAGGTCAAAGCAGGCTGATGGGTGCAGCATTACACAACATACCCACCACAACGCCATGGGAAAGTTCTGCTTCACATTCAGTTTAGAAGACTTTACACATGCAAGGATTTTCACACCCACAGCTGGGCGCCCTGACCTCCTCCTGCACTTCTGTCCCACTAATCCCCCTGGCAGCAGCTCCTAGGATTTATCCCAGGGGCAACTTTGCCCCTGAGGGGCAGGCGGACATCCAGCAAGTGCTGCTGTGGAAGTGCTGCCCAGCAGCACCGCACGCGCAGTGCTGCTGCGGATGGGGAGGACAAACCTGCACAGAAGGATTGCCGGCTGAGGTTTTTTTATTTTATTTATTTATTTATTTATTTTTGCAGCAGGTCCATGTGTTTTATTTTGCATGGGAAGCTTATAACATGCGCAGGGGGCAGCAAAGGACAAACCAGCTCATCACACTACTTTCTCCTGTGGTCTGCATGGGGCAAACTGGAGGAGGGTGGGAGCAGGGGGGAAGCCAGAAGGGGTCCTGCAGACACCATCATCACTCCATGCAACGAACTGAGGGCACCCAACTTGATTTTTCCCTAATTCTAGGGCAAAATGATGCGTACAGACTCTTCTGTAAACAGCCATACCTGTTGTGCTCTGCTCTGCACCAGCCAAACCTGAGCTTCAGCCCACAGATCAATTTAGTGCAGTAATGAGCCCCTGCTAATTTTTCTCTTTCTTAGCAGAACTAATTAGCTGGGGATGCAGTACTCATTTGAGCTATGTTGCTCCCGGATGGGGCTGGGCTGATGCCATGACACTTCTGTGGATCTTCGAGACTTTGGGGTGACTTTTTGTTATTTCTCAGTGCTGCATAAAGTGTCCCTAAATCAGTGAAACCCCCAGCACTAGGGAATGCTGGATTTTGGGAACAGAGGAACACACGAGGGCTGCAGTGTGGAATGAGCACAACCCAAACTTCAACCCCCTCAATGTATGGCTGGATCAATGGACTGGCTCCGGCCTGACAGACTGCTCTGGCATTGAGGATAATGAAATGGGGAACTGGCAATAATTAAAGGAGCTACAGATCCCTGATTCAGTCACAGAGGACCCTCAGAGGATCAGGGAGCAGCAGAGGAGTCATCCCTCCAGGAAAACTGAGGTCAGGCAGCACCAGTGAGTTGCTTGTGGCTTTGTTTCCAAGACAGACCCTGCCAAAGTTTGTGGGGCATCCCCGTCCTCAGGAGATATCTTTGCAAATGAAGTTCCTTAAATTCAAGGCAAATATTCACAGCTGAAGGGGACTAAGCAGGGCTGGGGCAAGAAGGTAGTGACTGGTTGTTTGTGGATGATAAAAAATAGGAAATATTAATTCAAACCTTTGATAGAGGTCTGGCAAAAGCTCCCTCCACTTTCAAGTGTGGGAGCAGCAAAGAAATGGAAAAGGCACTGAGAGATAGTGAAATAATAGCAGGTCAGCAAGGGATACAGAGAAGCACAATTTCTGCTGCCTCACAGCACCAGTGGACCCCAAAGCCCAGTCTGTGACATCTTCATGTGTAGAGAGGGCTTCGCTTTAAAAAGGAGAGGCTAGGATGAGCCCCAACATTTAAACCTTTTAATCCCACCACCAAAGAAATGCTTGGCCTAAACTGGCAGCCACTAACTGCTATGGGCTGCAACCTTTTCTGTGCCTCAGTTTCCCCAGCCCTCCTGATGTGCTGCACAGCCAGGCCAGACACCCATAGAAAATGACGCATAGGAGGAAATTCCCAAGCTGGATTCCCAGTCCAGGACAGAGGCATCCTTTGCTGCCTCAACCCAACACATCAGGCAGGGTGGCATGCCTGGCCCAGCTGTCCTGCACGCATCTTCCCATTTGTTTTTTCCCATATATATATATATATATATAAACTAGATTAACAGAGAACCTGGTACATAGAGTACACACCATGAAACAGATGAAACCTTTCTGATACACAGCCATACAGCCCAAATTAATCAGCTATGGATTAACCAGGTCAGGATGTAATTTAATAGCGAGCTAGGTCAAGAGCAGCCACCCCTGCTTGGAGGAAGCTGCAGTGTTCCCAATCTCAGGTGCCTGCATAAAGCTGCCGCAAACCCATTTGGGCAGCAGGAAAAGACAGATGGGGTGAAATGAGTTCTGCAGCGAGGCTGGCTGCAATCGCCTGGGCCTGATCCAAGCTCTGCTGAAATGCAGCCCTCCCCACCTTTCCCATGCCCAGAGTCAGTGTTTTATCTTGATTCAGAAAAAGGTTTAAGTGGGTATTTAATGCAAAACCTGCCTTGGCGCCTTTTGGTGCTGCTGAATGGGCTTTTGGAGGTAACGCGATAAAGACAAGTCGATGCCAAATCAATGGGAAACTTTCCTGGTCTGCCCAAAAGTGCTGCGAGGTTGTGTGCACAGGCAGAGCCCAGCCCCATGGGGATCTGAGTACTGAGCCCAGTGCTGTGACCTCCTCCTGCTCCTGGGGACAAGCAAATGACCTCACCCCAACAAAACCAGCTGCCTCCGCACCGACAGCCTCTAGGTACAAACCCTCCCCAGAGGCTGTGGCCACAGCCAAAAGTGGATGGGTGGTATAAATGGAAAACAATAGGAAGCTGCTAATCAGGTCATGCTGATACCTGTATCGATCCTGATTTATGCATCAACGGCAGCAAAAGGAGGCAGTGACAGGGGCTGGAGACCTGGGGTCGCTTCAGACTGGCAGCACCTTGCACTGGGCTGGAGCCTCAGCAGAGATTGGTGCGGTTCTCCCAGGATGGTCACCATGACCCTGTGGTCCCAGGGGAGGACATTATAATTTGGGCACAGCAGGAACATAATTAAGATTTAAAGGGACTGGGATAATGTCAATGGGACCCTCCAGCTCCTGGCAACCCCAGGGTTGCTTGCTACAATCACCCAGCATTCAGGAGCAACCCTCTGACTCCCCGGTGTTTCCTCAAAGGACCACCCTCCCTCCTCCTCTCTTCCCCCCCCCCCCCCCCCCCATATTAAGTAAATAAATAAATAACAACCACCACCACCAAAAAGAGTGCAGAACACAATTGCCTCCTAAGGTCACATGCCAACCCCTCCTCTCTTCCACCCCCATCTTTTAACCTGCTGCAAAAAGAAAGGAAGGGAGCAACAAACCCAGCTTCTGTATCATTCTCATCCTCATCCTGCTCCGGCTTCAGGGTACCCGGTCCCACTGCCTCCAGCTGCCTCCTCCAGCCCCCACACTTCTCCCAGTGTGTGTCTGTGGCAGTGCGGGACGTTTGTACCCCTCCTGCACCGGGCGGAAAGGCGATGCCAGTGCCCACGTGAGCCCGGTGGGACTCCTTGCCCTCATTCTCCTTGTGCCTGAAATGGGATTTTGCTCCATCACTGGGTTCTGCTTGCAAGTTGCAGCAGTGTTCAAGCTCCCAGCCTGCCACCTTCTTGGCTGCAGATATGTGCATGGCCTTTGCTTTCCAAGTGACAGTGAAAAAGGAACAGTATCAAATGAAGGAAGATGGGGTGATACACCCCACCCCCCCAGCCCCCCTTTGCAGAGCTGCTTGTAGGGTTGATTGGTAGCCAGGATGGTGCCAGTTTCACGTGGGCTGCATTAATTTGCCCCTGCTCAGCCCCTCTGGAGCTCCCACCCTCAGCATGTCTCCATTCCAGGTGGAGAGGTTTGGGGCTCATCTGGCCATAGGGCCTGTTGACCAGGCATTCCCTCAGCTGCTACAAAGGGCAGGGCCTGACTCTGTCCTGGTGCTTGGGAAAATTCATTTCCTGGAACCTGCAATCGCTGTTGGCTCCCAAACTGCTGAAGGTTCTGGAGCCTAAGTTGCACCTTTGTATGCTTTTTGTATTCCTCTGTGCACCCCTGCGGATCATGCCGTGGCATTACCTGCCCATATAGCGCAGGGTCCTAGCCATACCTGGACACAGCCAGAAAGAAGCCCCAGCCAGGTGCAGATCAGAGGTTGCAGGATGCAGGCATAGCCACTGGGTCTGTCCAAAGGTCTGTTAGGGCTGCAAGCATCATCTACTGCTTTCAGTGAAGGCTTCCATGCTGCTGTCTCAAGACCCTGCCTGCTTTTCCTGCAGGATTTGAAAAAACTGCAGATATTTCCCTTTCCATTTATTTCTCCAGCCCATGCAGACAGCATCACCTTCCATGCCACAAAACTTGCCAAGCAAAGGCAGCACTGGGGCATTGCCCTAGATGGTGACCCAGCACACAGGAGTGGGGCATGCATCAGTCAGGGCATTTCCCATCCACCCCAGCATCTCAAACCCTCCTGCAAATGGCTTGAGATGCTGACCCTTTACCCTGAGCTTCCTTCGAGTTGTTGCAACCAGGACAGGCTTCCACACTCTGCTGGTGAATTGGGAAAAGAACCTCAGATCTGTGTTTAGCCCTTTCAGCAGCACCCTGGCAGCTGAGCACACAAAGTCAGGGTCTCCCAGAGGTGCTGCTCAGAAAAAACAAACAAACAAACAAACAAACAAAAACCAAACAAACAAACAAACAAAAAACAACAAGGGACACAACTACCTTTTTAGGTGCTGGAAAACCATCCCTGGAAAATCTCCCCCCAAATGTGGGGAAAGGGATCTCAATGCACAGAGTTAGAAGTGGCCCCTCGCGGCTATTTCCCCCAAGCAGCCCTGGGCTCCTTGTGCCATGTTAGAGCTGATTTCTGTTTTGGTGTGATTTCCTGATCTCCGTCCCATGACGTTGGGAAATGGATATGTCCGAGCCTAGCAGCAGCCAAGCCCAGTGGTGAGCCCAGGTCTGGCCACTGCGCCGCAGCAGTGGCCATGGCAGATCCATAGCTTTCCAAGCTGTGGTGTGGGCTGAGCATCTTCTCCCATGTGTGAGGGGAAATTATTCACTGGGGCACAGCTTCATAGTCCAGGTTGGATGCAAAAGTTGCTGTTTCAAGAAAGTGTTTTGATTTTTGGAAATCTGAACTGAGAAGCAGTTCATGTTTTTGGAGCTCTTTTAGTGGGCAATTTGAGAAGAACAATAGAAACAAAACACTGGTAGGGAAACACATCTTCATCCATTTGATATATGTCAGATGCCAAAAGGAGATACTTTCCTGGCAGCTGACATGATGAGACATCCCATTTGCCTGTAGTGGGTTTACGTGGCAAGGTTTTGGTAGCAGGGACCATAGGGGTGGCTTCTGTGAGAAGAATCCAGAAGCTGCCCCATGTTAGATAAGGGCCCTGCTGCTCGACAAAGCTGGGCCCATAAGCGATGTTGTTTGTGCCTCTGAGAGCATATTTAAGGAAGAAAAAACACTGCCACACAGTAGCTGACAGAGGGAAGAGTGAGAAGCAGCCCTGCAGCCCCCCAAGGTGAGTGCAGCAGGAGGCAGGAGGTGCTCCAGGCTCACAGCAGCAGTTCCCCTGCGGCCTGTGCAGGGAGAGGCCCCTGGTGGAGCAGGCTGTCCCCCTGCAGCCCATGGGTCCCCCATGGAGCAGATCTCCACGCTGCAGCCCCCCCATGGGTGGAGGAGCCCCCGGTGGAGCAGTGGATGTGGCCTGGAGGAGGCTGCAGCCCATGGAGAGCCCTGCAGGAGCAGGCCCCGGGCCGGAGCTGCTGCCTGTGGGCAGCCCCTGCAGGGTCACTTTGGGAAGGACAGCATCCCATGGGAGGGACCCACGGGAAGCAGGGGCAGAGAGGGACTGAGAAGGACTAGCAGAGACGAAGTGCCATAGACTGACCACAGCCCCCATTCGCCTTCCCCTGTGCCGCTCAGGGGGAAGAGGTGGAAGAGGGTGGATGGGGGGAAGGCATTTTTGGTTTATTTCCTTTATTTCTCATTTCTCTAGCTTGTTAGTAATAGGCAATAAATCCAACTCCCTACTCTGAGTCTCTTTTGTCTGTCACAATAATTGCTGAGCGATATCCCTGTCCTTATCTTAAACCTTGAGCCCTTTGTGTTGTATTTTCTCCCCCTTTCTCTTTGAGGAGTGGGAGTGAGTAGATTTAGACTGTCAGGAAGGTTGTGCGACACTGGATTTTTCCCTCTGAAATAGGACAATAACTAACTGCAGCTGTGCCCCAGCATGGGCTGGGCAGTACACACTGGGGAAGGAGACAATGGCTCAGCATCAGCTCGTGTTGGCCAGAAACCACTCATCCTGCCTTGAGATCGCTTTGCCTCAGGACTGTGCATCTCATCACATGTCAGACACACACCCGGGTATGCTTGTGGAGTGACTTAGGGCTGATGCTTGCTTGCATCTGAACCCAGTACAAACCCAGGAAAGTCTCTTTGGCCCCTTCTGAACCTTTCCATACCGCCTTTATCCCCAGTGATGATTTTTCATTAGCACTTGGAGGATTGAAGCGCTCATTAGTATGACAGCTGCAGGGAGCTTTGAGGCATCACTCTTGCACTGATCTGTAAGACCAGAGAAGATGATCTAACCTGGACTCACCAAAAATTGCATGTTATTTTCTATTAAATGCAAACTGTACTGAATCCACCAGAATTAGAAGCAGTTTAGACCCAAAATTACATTAATCTTCCCCAAATTCTGCTCTGCATCACTGGGTAAACACTGTACAACTTCGCAGGGTTCAGTGGAGATCCCCATTCTCAGTCCCTTGAAATTGCCTAAAACATCCCTTTATTTCCAGGTGAGATTAAGCCAACCTAAAAAGAAAGACCCCATTATCTCTTCTTACTGCAGTCTGAATCTAACGTAACCTGCTCTTGAATCTCACCCACTCCGCATTTAATTCATCCCAATCAAATGGATGCTCCTTCCCCTTTTTTGGGTTTTAAGTGACCACTTGGCAGCAATGGATTTCAGCCTGTCAGAAATACCTATGAATTGTTTGCTCGTACAGTTTAATTTGAGTGGACTGGATGCAACTAATATTTCCTCTTGTGTCTTCAGTGTTTTTCGCATACCCTCCAATAAAGCAGATTGCAATGTCTGATCATTTCCATTAGAAGATTTGCAGAGCATTCAAACCCATTAAAAAGATCACAGCCAAGAATAACTACTTTATTTAAGTCTTGGAAAAGAAATAAAGGCTTTAAATGCTGAAAGCACAGAGCGTATCTGTCTGGGATCAGGCACAAACCCAAGAGCATCCAAAAATCCTATATCAGCATAAGCTGGTATACAGCTACAAGCCAAATACCATTTTATCTGGAGATAAATGGGAACCTTGTCAACCAGGTGATTCTTCTGCATCCTATGGGTGATGAAATAAAATAAAAGGAGTGGCTGAATGTAGGTAGGAGCTTTGCACTGGTGTCAGGCTCCATTACATTTCTGTGATATTATTAATGCCATACAGACTTTTATAAGCAAAATAAATAAAACTAAAAGCAGTCACTCACCTGCAGCCAAGTTCAGGCAGCCTAAATTACAGTTCTTCCTCCAGCAATAGAAGATCCTATGGGTGGTTACGGATGTGGTCGGTGTCTGTGCAGCTCTGACACACAGGTAAGGATTAGAAAGAGTTTGTCTCAGGAAAGACTCAGATTCAGAAACCCTATACCCTCGTGAAACCCTATCTTGCCTTGCTGTCCTTGGCTTTAAAGGAAACACGGGGAAGAAACATGGCATTTCAAGCAGGGCTGTGCTGACAATCCAGGCACATCTTCACAGGTAATGATTGCTGCAAACAAAGCAAAACTCCTCTGCAACTGACCCCAAGAGGGGTGTACCCCCAAGAGCTCAGCCCCCGAGCTGGTCACCTAGCTGACAGCTTCAGCACTTGGAAGTATTTGTTCCACAGATATCACACACACAAGGAGAGGGATTCCCCTTCCCACTAAGAACTTCATACTTGAGGATCTAGAAGCAAAGCCTGCTTCAAGAAACAGCATTCACATTTTAAGCCTAAAGGACTCTACAGAGTTTTATCTGCCCAGGTGTGGGCTGTAGCTCAGTCCTACCAAGGCATGTTGCCACCTTGATGGGAGCTGTGTGGCTCCAGGCTTGGGTGCTGGCCTCACTTCACTGCTCCTGTCCTGTGCAACACCCAAGGGATACCAGGTGCATACTCTGGGGATGAGTTGAACTGTGGCGCATCTATGGCTCTGGGAGCCTTTCAAGGGGGGTTCCCAAGTGGCACCAAACATCCCTCACTACAAGAAAATGCAAAAAAAAAAAGTAGCCATGCACTCAGCTCTGGGCAGCACCATTAGGCAACATCAGGGAAGAGGTGATGTGTCCCAGATCACAGAAGTGTCTTCCCATTAGTAAAAAACCCACCTTATTCCCTGAACCATGAAGAAACAGGCATAGGAGGCCTTGGCTACTCTAATGGGTCCTTCCAAGCCTACTGTATGGTGTCCTGGTCACTACCCTGTAAATATGCCTCTAAGTGCATTTTCTCCCAAGAATACATGGGAAAGGTTAAACCTACTTCTTGTCCATCTTCAAGCTTGGCAAGGAGGATGGGAGGAGGGAACACACTGGAGACTACTCACTCAGTTCAGCAGGGTAGCTGTGAGTTTGCTGACCAAGGGTCTTCTCCTCGCTACATTCAGCTGATCTGCGGCTTGTTATCAAGTATCACAACCAGTCCTGCAGTAATCATGAACAGCAAAAGGTGGAAGGGAAGGTCCATTGCTCAACCAGGCCATCAGCTTGGCCATTCTGTTTCAACACAGCTCACAAGGAGGGCCCAAAGACCTCCTTCAATCTTTGGGCACTACCCAAAGCAGTGTCCCTAGGAGATATTCCCACCTCACAGGTATTTCCTGGAGGTTACAGTTACGGTGCAGTAATGGGGAATCACATTAATTACTTGTTCAGCTGAATGGTAGTAACGAAGGCGCAGTGCCGGGTGAGGGACATATCAAGAATCATGTTAGCATAGCAAGTGGCATAGGAACACCCAGAAAGGGTGATGCTCTGCAGAAAGGCCTGAAGTTGTTACAAGGACGTTGGGAGACTTGATACAAAAGGCCAGCTTATTAATAGCTAATAGGTAAATAAATTATGTACCCACTTGGGTGGATTGTGTTTCTTCCTCCTTGCTGCACCCTGCTGTTTCCATCACCACCTTTCTCCCTGGTTTCTGTCCCGCTCCGTTCTTTCTTCTCCTTTATTTTCATGCTTTGCAGGACTTGGATGTGTTTGCTTTGAAAACTTCAAAGCTGTAGCAGTGAACCTGGCCTCTCTCCTGCATCTCAACTGTCCATATCTATCCAGACCAGGACACGACACCACCAGCTCTGCTGAGGCTCCCTGAAGAGGGCCAGACACCCCCATCACCCCAAGGCTGCTCCTGCTTGCAGGGCTCTGTTGATGCCCTGGAAACACCAAGACTGAAAGAAGAGCTCCGGCAGCAAAACAAAACCTTCTGGCAGAGGCTTTCTCTGTGCCCCTTTGTGGGATATGGCCCAGCCTGTCTGCCACCTAACTGGCCCCAGCAGGAGCAGTCCAAGCTCTGCCATGCCTGCATTCAAGCACCGGCAGCTCTGCACCCTACAGGCTCCAGCAGGTCCCTGGCAGGCAGAAGGGAGAGTGCAAGGCTGGGCAGTGCTGCAGGGGGAGAGAAGAGCCACACACCGTACCCACCTGGAGGGGCTGCATGCACTTGGGAGTTACAGACCCCAGCACCGCAGAAACCCCAAGCAGGAGGCTGAAATGTTGAGTCCAACATAGTACATAAAAGCAGGTTTGGGTTCTGCATTGCCTGCATGACTCTACCATGGTTTCCTTTTGGCTGAGGGTAGGAAGCTGATACCTGCCAACACCTCAACTACCATACTTCCGCCATCCCCAAGCTGCAAACACTGCTCACAAGCCCACATGCAGCAGTTCTGGGGGAGGCCACAGCCTTCTGGAGCCTGCACGCCAGCACAGTGTGCTCAGCCTGCTGCAGGCCCATGTGGGGCCCAGCAGTGTGTCTTCTGGAGCACCTTGGAACCCTCCACACAGACCCTGAGCTTTGGGGCTGGCTCCCACCTGGAGAAGCACAGGAAAGAAGGGGTGCTCATACAGGTAAACCCTTCAGAAGCAGGCTCACACCCATGCATTACTGAACATTGCAGCATTTCTGGTGGTGATACAAAGCCATGTTCTCTGGGTGAGCTGGAGATCTTCGCCATGTCCATGGTAAATTCCCATCCCCAGCACACAGCAGATGTGAGGAGCATTCAAAGAAAAGCCCAGAGGAGAATGCCAGGTCCTGTGCTATCTCTTCACCCCCAGGAACAGCCCCAGTGCTTAAGCCCTCATTTCCCAGATGCTGCCCCTTTACTACTCTTTCGTGATCACTTTCTCTGCTTGCTCTGTTCTCAGATGCTGTGCTATGCTATCCCTCTGCCTGGGCAGTGTTTGGCAATCTGATCACTGTCTCCTCCTCCAGGAGGGCTGTGAGTGCTGTCATGAATCACTCCAGACCCCACTCTGACCCCGATGATGTTCCACTCTGTGGGTCTGCATTGCCCAATTTGACACTGCCCCATTAACAGGCAGGCTCCTGTTCCCTGCCTATTACCTTCTCGTTGGGTTTGCATAACCCTAACTCACGTCATGGCAGCTCATGGCCACCGAAATCAGGCTATTCTGTATCAGTAATGGGAAACTCTCTGCACCACCCCTGACCTGAGCACACATCTGCTCTCATTGCTGCTTCCTCCCTGGGGAGAGCAAAGTCCCACCCTGACACCCATGAAGGAGGACACTGAAGCAACCATCTCCAACCCTTATTTAATTCCCACAGTTGCCTTCTCCATGAAGGGGCCATTGCTTGTCTATTTTGAATCACGTAAAGGCTGAGGAATCAGTAGCAAAGGGAGGGGGAGCTGTGCTCACTCACCTTGTCTCTGCCACTGGACCTGTGCAAGGGTGTGGAAATGGCTGTCTTGCATTTAGTACATTTTGGGACCGCTGACAGGCAAAGGAGAGGGAGATTTTTTTATTTTTATTTTTATTTTTTTTTCAGAAAATCAGGGACAAAAGGAGATGGATGGCATATAAAAATCTGTAACGGAGAAGAGAGGGTAGTAATTCAGTTGGTGCCCCTGCAAACTAGGGAAGGAGAGATGGAGGAGCAAAGGGGAAAGTCTGAAACTGGGAGCTTTGCTAGTCTTTCTTCTCCTTGTACATGGTCAGGACCATGTACAAGGAAGGCAAGGAAGAAGGTGAGGAGGTGGCTCTGATGCCCTGGCTGTAACTGACCTCACTGGAGCCATGGTGGAGAGAAGGCTCCCTCCTGCAACAAGGTTCAGGACACAAGCATAAGGCAACACCCATCTGAGGTGATGTTCCTGCCATACAGAGAGTTGTTTGGCCAAGCATGACATTATTGCATTGTCTCAAATCTTGGCCCAAGGCAAGGTTATAAGCAGGGAAACTGAGGCATGGAGCATGCAAGGAAGCTGAGCTGCAAAATCAGCCCTCCGGCACTTTGCAGGGAGCAAGGGAGGTGCAGATATGCTGCCTTCAACCCTCTTCCAACACAGGCAGCAAACTGGGGGAGCAGCTTTGCCCACTAGGGCCACTGCTCTGCCAGCACTATCAGGCAGCTCCCGGCAAGCTGAGACAAGGCAGCAAAGACTTCCTGAAAACTCCCAGTACCGGAGAAGTGACAAAAACCTCCATCTGGCCAGGGGAAAAACAAGATGACTGGCTTCAGCAAACAAGCTGCAAAATCTGCCCTCAGGCTCCAGACCCCAATGCAAGCACTGGGTCAGACACCAATGGGTCGCTTCATGGGAGATCTGTACCTCCCAGGCTTGCCCTCTCCAGATGAGTTTGGATGGTTTTTTGTTATTTTTCAGAGAAGGATTCATGCAGTGCTGATGGCTTCTGGTATTTTGCATGGCTCTGTCCCTTCTTCACTAACTTTTTGAAGACAACCTCTTCACAAAAAGCTCTCTCCACCCACCCAAAAGCTTCACTCATGGCTTTTAGGCACCAAACTTGGGGTATCTTGATACGCTGCTCCTCACCCATCTTCTCCTGGTTTTAGCTGCTGGTTCCAGATAAAGTTCCTGCAGCAGCTAAAGCCTGTAATGTCAGAAAATGCTTGTTGGTGTTTCCAAAACAGCAATTTTTGTTTGCTCTGTGGTTACTCGGTCTTGCTGGCTAAGGACAGCTCTGAAAAGCGACCAAGGAAATTGAAGTTACTGTCAGTAATCTTAAATTTAACTCACAGGCGAATTTGCACCCCCTCCTGGAGAAGCTTTAGGGAGCCCTAAAACGAAAAAGATCAAAATCCCTTGTACCCAGAACGAAATCCAACAGCGCCCCTGTCTGGGGAATGGAAATACAGCAGCTTCGTCCCGGACGTTTCATTTCCACAGTTCTGCCTTCTCATGGTTAAAACTACCCATTTCCATGCACACAGCAGGAGTGACATGGGGCTGAGGATATTCTCAGCCATGAAAACCCACCCCACTTTCAGCAGGGTGCATGAATGAACCCCTCAGCTCTAACAGACTTGGTCTGCTGGGGGTGAGCAGGGATGCACTACAACGAAGGCTGAGCCTGGAGACTAGAGGAATTGGTTTCTAGGGGAAGAAGTGAAAACAGGACTAAGTGTGCTGAGTAGAAAAGTGTAGATGGAACTGCTTCAGCATGTCATTGCTCTTTAAGGAAGAAGAGAGTGGGTGTCTACATATTGCTTTCTTTACTTGCACATATAATAAAGAGTTGAAAGAGAATGCAAACACATACATACACATATAGGTATCACTACATAGGACCAGGTATTCCTGTTTCCTTCTCTCAAACGCCAGCAATAGAAACCAAGGGTAATGACATGAAGCTGTATCAGGGGACATTAGGCAGAGGGTGGTCTGGCACTGGCACAGGCTCTTGAGTATGGTGGTCATGGCATCAAGCTGCCAGAATTCAAGAAGTGTTTGGACAATGCTTTAAGACATATAATTTGATTTTTGGGTGGTCCTGTGTGGAGCCAGGAGTTGGACTCAGTGTTCCTTGTTGGTCCCTGCCAGCTTGGGATATTCTATGATTCTGTATCTCCCCTCCTCCCCTTCCCCCCTCCTCTTCTCTCTCTTAACCCCCCCCCCCCCCCCACCTTTGCTAGCAAAGAGCTTTGTTGGTCTCTTTGCTTGTTTGCAGATGAAAGCACTAAGGACCTGGGCAAAAAACAGAGCTTGACAAATGCCAGGCCCCACCATGCACCAGGTGTTTGCCATGCTCCTTGCTCTGGGGAAGGAGAAAGGTGAGGGTAGAAACATGGGAAGGGACCCTTCTTCTACCAAACCCACTGTACTCAGGCATCTTGGATCAAACTGACAAAGGCGTTTGGGCACCAGATCTCAGGACTTGCCAGAAGAGTTTGGTTTGCAGCTATTTCACATTCTGGAACTCAAGTCTTTACATATTCCCCTAAAAACTGCTCACCCTCATGATGAAAAGCCAGATTATCCCATAAACAGTGTTTGGTCAACCATGAAATGGTGACAAGCTGCCAAGGTCTGCATTGGCCTGGATGCTGTGGGCAGTGGAAGGATCCCATCTCCTCTTTCTTGGCCCCCTCCACTTGCTCACCTGCTCCAAAGCCACTCCCTGGTCTGCCAGTTCACAGATCACACAGACTCAGCAGAGGGCTCTCACATTCTAAAACCTGGTTTCATCAAAGCTCTCCACCGTGGCAGATCAGCACAATGCTCTGTCACATTCCCCTCCATAAGCCCCCTCCACCACCTCGTGCAACCATGCAGAAGTGATGGGAGAAGAGCTGACAGTAAAGTGACAGCACCTTTGCTCATATTCATCCATTCTCTCCTTTTTCTCCTCCAGATTGAATTTAGAAAGCTATCATGGTGCAAATTTACCTCAATCCAGCTCCTGGAAATCAAGGCACAAATGCCCTCTGTGTAAAGGAAAGGACTCAGCACCATTGGACTCAGCACCAGCACACACTCCCTGCGCTATGGGAACACTTGGATGCTGATATGCTCATCAGCCCAACGGCCTTTACACCACACAGCCTTCCACAGGTGAAATGTTACAAGTGGACATTTGATGGATCCTTGGGGGCTACTGTCTCATTGCTGCCCCAGAGGGTCCTCCCCAGCCTCCTCCAGCCCTCCACCCACGTTCACCAGCTCTCGCTGGCACCCTGCCACTCTGACAACGTATGCTCTGAAACAAGCCAGTGAAATGGGATGGTGTAAAGCAGAACAGGCTGGCGTAAAGCAGAACACAGCAGAGAACCCCACCTCCCACCCCATCCCTGCCATTTACCCAGCCCGTGCCCCCTCTCAGGATGCTGCAGGGGAGGACAACGCAGACAAAGCTGCCAGAAACCTGTCACAACATCCCCAGCATTGCTGTCTGGGAAACACAGCTCCACACCCTTAAACATTCACTCCGGGCTTTGTTGCTGTCTGATGCAGCCCCAGCTTCCCTCTAAGCCCTTCCTAGCCCTGCTCACCTGCTTTAACCCCAGAGCAGGCCTGGCTATGCTCCCCTGGGACCAGGAGTGTCCCCAGGCTAGTTTCCCTCTGCCTAAGGCCCTTTTCTAACCTCAGGCAGGTGGAGCTGCTCACCAGATTATTGGCCTCACCCCTCTGGTGCCCACAGCTTTGGAAGGCAGCAGCTCCTTTTGTGATGCTACTTTGCAGGTTTTCTTGTTGAACAGGAGCAGATGTGCTAGCTGGGCTGAAAATCTGGGTGAAAATCTAGAAACTGAGTGGGGAATAGGAAGAAAAAGGCCATTGATGGTGAGGAACACCCATGACATTGAGCACCCTGTTAGAACCAAGCTCGACCACTGGCTGCATCTTCCTCCTTTCCTATGCCCCTACTAAGATGGTGAAAAGGAGTAGTGAAGATACCAGATCATCACTGGAAGGTGATTGTTATAAATGAAGTCTCAACTCTGAATTTAGTAACATAAAATAATATTTTATTAGTAACATAAAATAATATTTTATTTATTAGGCAAGTAAACAGCGCTGGTGCGCAGGGAGTCTGTGCTCTACCAACACGCACACGTAACCGTCGAACTTTCCAAATATATATAGGACGTTGCTGTTACATATTTACAAGAAAAGTCGAGTACGCCTATACATACGGATATCCTATCCCCGCTTCATATTAGAATTCTCTTTGTGGTGGTCGTTGTGGGTGAAAGGCTCTCGGTTTCCCCATCACCATTTTGTTCCAGACTGCAGGAGCAGCTTTGACTGTCTCCCTCTTCTTCTGCACATGCTCTGCCCACCACAAGGTTCCCGAAAGCAACAAAACGGGATTGCTTTTCCCGTGTTTCGTTAACACTTGAAACCACACTAATATATATATTATATATTATACACATAATATATATATTATGGCCTCATCGTTAAGAGTCTGATGTTATCACCAACCACAAGGCTTTCCGACCCCCATTGCCACATTCCCAAATCTCCCCCTTCTTTATTAATATCAACCATTTTTCTGACACAAATTACCACTCCATATATAACAGTGATGGACTGTAATCTGAGGGTTACTACATCTTTCCAGGCTCACAGATCTCATGCAGGGCCAAATTCATGCTGAGCCAGCAAGGGCTCTGCAGATCAGCAATGCCGGCAGTGCATGTCCCTGGAGATGTGATATGGGAAGGGTCTGCAGGCACTGTCCCCATTCCTGCCTTCTTCTATGGGCAGTCAGTGCTGGACACTGCTGACAATAGGATCCTGGGAGAGATGAACCTCTCTCTGCACCCATAAAACTGCATATGTTCTACAACCTCCCAAGCAAATCCTAGTTGGCTCTAGGTCCTAGCTCCCAGTGAGACACAGCTCTGGTGCTGTGCACTGAAAGGGGCTGAAACTGGAGTAGCCAGAGCATGGCTTTTGGAGGTTTCATTGGGGGAACCCCTTGAAATCCCACATCAAGATGGGGTGCCTCCAGTTTGGACTTGGGAGCGATGGCCCTCGGTCCTTGCTTCAAGGAGAAGGGCAAAATCAAAGATACCCTCTGGTGGCCAGCAATGACGTTGCTCTGGAAGCAAGGAAATTATTATGGGTCTTTCCCAAGGAAGGGATGGCCCTTAAATACAAGGCTGGACAAACCCTCAGTGTAGCCTGAATTTCTCCTCTGCTCAGAGAAGCTCCTTGCACCTCATTTCCCCACCCATTAAATAGGAACGATCTGTCTCTCAACCAACTGTAATGATCCTGCCCTCACTGAGATACCTCCATGGGATTAATTAAGTAAAATCATTTTAGTGCTCTTTTGATTATGACTGAATAACAATTTAGGGATGCCCTGGTGCTGGTACATATCCACTCATCCACAAATGCTGAAATGCAGCCTTTCCCACCTGCAAAACCGAGAGGTTTTGTCTGTTTGCAAACTGATAACACTGAGCCTCTGGCTGGGCATGCAATGCTGCTGCTCCATCAGAGCACCTGGGCTTCAGGGCATCCAGCAGTCCCCTTTAACTTTGCACTGGAGGGGAACACAAGGAAATACTCTCCCAGGAAAGGCTGAAAGCTCTTGTGTTCCATAAACTGCAAAGCTAGAGTTTTGCATGGTGGCTCTGGCAGGCATGGGGAAACTGAGGCACAGAGGGATTGCTGCCAGCACAGATATTCAGTGGGGCCATGGGATCTGAACCCTGTGCCAAAAGGGTGCAAAACACATCAGGGAGGAGGAACACTCCCAACAGCAGCTACCTCTGCCAGAGCCAAGGGGACTAATTCCCAGTTGGGGTTGCACAGAGTATCTTCACTGAGCTGGGCTGGCCCCTATGCCTGGGATGGCTTATGAGGGAATTTTTGAGGATGAATAATGAGAAAATGCCTTTTAGAGAAAAAGTCTCTGGGGGGTGCTCTCACACCCTGGCAGCCTGACTGGGGCTGAATTGACACTGAATCACCTTAGCTGCACACTCCCCTCATGCTGCTCCACCAAGGAACTGCAGCTTCCACAGGGAGGCAGAAGCTGTAAAACCCCATTTTAATTTTGCTCTCACTGGGGATGGAAAAAGCAACAGAGCTGCAAATCAAATGGCCCCGTGGAGGTGGCTGGAAAGCACTCAATGCCTCCCACTATAGACAGAGAAAATGCAACAACCTGGAAAGCCAGAGAGGGCCAGATCCTCCCACAGTGTAATTCAGTGTAGCCAAGGGCCAGGGATGTCTTGCCCGTTGCAAACTGCTGTGGCCAGCGTGGCTCAGCTGCCAGGCATGTTCCTGCCTTGCTCACCCACCCCATGGGAATGTATCAGTTTTGCAAAATAAAGTATTTTGCAGGTACAGCTCCTTTCAGAGTAGGCAAGGGAGGTTGGTGTTAGCCTGCCTGCCCCCATGTGCTATGGCTATTGCCTTTTGGGAGACAACCAGGCCAAGCAGCTCTGGGTGTCGCAGGCAAGCGGGAGGCAATCCTGGCAGGGAGAAACTGCCAGGGACAGACAGGCCAAAGGGGGTTTTCTGTCCCACTTTTGCACTTGTGGTTTTGAACGCTTATTTTTGCCTCAAGGGGATGACTAAACCCAAGCAGAGCTACAGACTGGGAGAGGAATGGTTGGAAAGCCGCCTGGCGGAGAAGGACCTGGGAGTGTTGGTTGATAGTCGACTGAATATGAACCAGCAGTATGCTCAGGTGGCCAAGAAGGCCAACAGCATCCTGGCTTGTATAAGAAGCAGTGTGGCCAGCAGGGCTAGGGAGGTGATCGTCCCCCTGTACTCGGCTCTGGTGAGGCCACACCTCGAGTACTGTGTTCAGTTTTGGGCCCCTCGCTACAAGAAGGACATCGAGGTGCTTGAGTGGGTCCAGAGAAGGGCAACGAAGCTGCTGAGGGGCCTGGAGAACAAGTCCTACGAGGAGCGGCTGAGGGAGCTGGGCTTGTTCAGCCTGGAGAAAAGGAGGCTCAGGGGCGACTTTATTGCTCTCCACAGGTGCCTTAAAGGAGGCTGTAGCGAGGTGTGGGTTGGTCTGTTCTCCCACGTGCCTGGTAACAGGACGAGGGGGAATGGGCTGAAGTTGCTCCAGGGGAGTTTTAGGTTAGATGTTAGGAAGAACTTCTTTACCGAAAGGGTTGTTAGACATTGGAATGGGCTGCCCAGGGAAGTGGTGGAGTCACCATCCCTGGAGGTCTTTAAAAGATGTTTAGATGTAGAGCTTAGGGATATGGTTTAGTGGAGGACTGTTAGTCAGAGTTGGTCAACATAGTTGGTCAGAGGTTGGACTCGATAATCTTGAGGTCTCTTCTAACCTAGAAATTCTGTGATTCTGTGATTCTGTAAAGTAATCTTCAGAGTCCCCAGTAAAAGTGTCTTGTAGGGGGTTGAGCTATGTTTTCTATGAGCATCACTGGGGCCCCACCATACTGATAAGTTACTTGGTGTGAACAAGAATATGGAGGGATTTGCAATATGTTTCACATTTGTTGGAAACTGCTTGTATGTGGGAAATCACTGCCTTTCAAGCCATGCAGGCTGTGCTACAGAGATCTGGTGCTAGGGATACCCAAAGAAGTAGCAGCTCAGGGAAATGCAGAGCCTTATGAAATTGCCACCTTGCCCCAGGAATAGGTCTGGGGACAGGCCTGGAGCCATGACTTGTACAGTATCCTGTGCTCTGACATGCTCAAGGGAGCACCCAAGCCTGGAGGCTTTCCCTGCTGCTGGTGCTGACTGGAGCTTCTGTGACACCAGACACATCCACAGGGTACCAGAGCATTGTGCTGATGTGCCAGGGCTATGCCACTCAGAAGGATGTGCAAGGAGGAAAAAAAAATAACTTGTATTGGTGGCAAGTCCCTCTCACCATGCTACATGCATGGAGTCTGCCCCAGTAAGCCTGAGGCCCTCCTCTCCCTCCCTGCTTTCTCCAGCACTTTGCTCAGCACATCCCCCACCAGAGGAATCCTCCATGCAAAATACAAATGCGTGGCCAAGATAAAAGCGAAGCTGTGAATAATTCATGTTTCAATCTTTTTTACCACCGTCTGCTGTAAATATTTAAATAGCACCAAGATGTCTAGAGCTGAACTTCAGGAGGGTGAACCCAAGCCTGCAGCCTGCTGCCCACAGGGCATCCGCATGGTTTGCTGCTGGGAGGAGGCAAAGGGACCTGATGGGGACAGGATGGGCCATTTCCTTGGTGGTGTGTGCACTAGGGCAGAGACAAGGGAGCCCCAGAGAAAAAAATGGATGTATATCTTGGGAAGAAGCAAATATCCAAGCGTTTCTGCCCACCCACAAAAGGGCAGCTCAGAAAGGGTGATATTTCCACCCTAGGAAAGAGGTGCACATTTTGTTGGAAAGAGCAGCAAAATGGCATGGTTCAGCTTTCAGTGCTTTCTTCTGCCTTCCCATGGCTCATAACCTTGGAATTTCACACAAATTTATAATCACCACAAAACTGACCAGCAAATTTCCTCTGCTTTGTTGTGCAGCTTCCTGCATTCTACTCTGCATCTTGAAAACAAGAAAACAATGTCTGGCATTAAAATAACTCACAGCCCCATGCCATCTCCCAGCTCTTGGTGCAGCACCTGGCTTGGACATTAAGGATAGCTATTTCGGGACATTTATGGTGTGGGCGAATATGTCAGATTGG